GCTTGATATCCGTTTTTTGGGTTAAAAGGAAGGCTTAAAAGTGCATCAAGGCTCAGACATAAGCCTTGAAAGAAAACAAAAAAAAAACAAAAAAAACCTAAAAGAAAAAAAGAACGCAAAGGCAAAAAAAAAAAAAAAAAAAACAAGAAAATTGGAATCGCAACAAAGGTAATTGGTCACAAAAGAAATCATCTTTTCTTAACTGCAAATGTTTAAAATTAGCGGTGGTGTAAACGCATTTAAAATATTTACCTGTGGAATCTTTTCGAGAAAATTTTCCACTGACTTGTGCTCATCCAGAATTTCTTTAGAGGACAATGAATAGTAATAATAATAATAATTTTAAAGACAATGAGAATAAATATGGCGATAGTGATAGTGTTGGTGTGTTAATACTAATACTGCTTCCGATACAGATACCGATACTGATATTGATACCGATGACGATAATGTGATAATGATAATGATAATGAGTTAGAAATCCTACAAATGGAACATGACCTGGAATTATTTGAAAAAGACCCTGTCTTTTGGAATCTGCGAGAATGAGGAAGTTCTTTGAAGCAAATAACAGCGGATTTCGCGGTCGAAAGAGAAGAGGAAACAAAGACCCCAGAAGGGCCTTGAGACTTCGGTAATTAAAACCATACACGTGTGGCAGGTCAATTATGATAACAAACAATAGAGTAAAGAAGTGTAAGGTCACAAAAAAACAACTTGAAATTATTGGATTGATGGGCATATTCACAAAGAACAAGTTGAAAAAAGCCCCGTTGCCAAAAATCATTTTGTTGGTGCATATAGGTGGGTAGATGTAAGCACTGGTTTGCTCCGATGACTTATGTATGTACCTTTAAAATAGGCCTAGATTCTACAGTACAAGATACGTATGGGACAAAACTACATTGCTCTGCGAAAGAGTACCCAATTCTACCTGATATGGATGCAGCGGCACGTCCCTTTGATGAAAGCAGTTGTGTTTTAACTGCCAGGCTGTGAGCTCTCGCTCTGCTCCAACGCTTCAAATAGTCTAGAGCTGAGAACACTGTCTGGGCGCTCATTTGGCGGAAATCTAGAAACAGATGAGATAATTAGCGAGAACATTTACCGCGGAAGGCTATGCACTTGATCTTGTCAACAGAGTTTACTACTTTCAATTTGAAATACCTCCGAAAATGAGATTTATTTCTAAAAGAAATAAATGGTTTTATGCTTAATGTGACTGATCATTATTGTATTTCTCCAGCTACCAGCAAAGGAGGGTTTCCTGTCATCCGGGTGATTTGTCACGAAAGTGTCATTTATGTCACGGGTCATGTAGGTCACAGAAGCGAGGCACAAGGCCTCCTTCCTCGCATTACAAGACAGTCAGAAACATTTTTGATGGCGACCGGATTTAGATGCAGGATGCTTGCGATTTATCAGTCTCTTTCGCTCTTCTTGGGTCTTACCTACCGAGCATCACCTCTTCTTTGAGATAAGTACTAGATTATTGCCCGATGGCTCACCGCTTACTCTCGGTGCTGTATTGATGTCCACAGTCATGTTCGTGCACATGATCGTCTTGTTGATTGCGGGAATTCATACACGTTGCGGTCGTTTATGCTAATGAAATGCCATTGCTTATTGGTAACATCGAATTTTACATCCGATCGACCATTAATTTTTTATGTTTTCAGTTACACTGGCGTGTATGCTAGTCCGTTCGGTGTGCGTAGCACAGTTTCGTTGTCCCTCAGACCGGTTGTGCCTCGTGTTCTTCAGCTACTTGTATCGCTGGTGCCAACTGGCGCTATATTTGAAATCAGTAACACTCGCCCGATCTTCAGTTGCCTGGAGCTGGGTCTCTTTGTTTATGATCTTGTTTTGTGATTTGGAAAGACACTTTATTTATTTATAATTATTTTGAGTTTACCTTTATGCAATTTGAGCATTTTTGACCTTTGGACGCAGCTTATATGTATAATTAATATTACAGTATTATAAAAAAAAAAAAAAAAAAAAAACAACAGCAACAGCAACAACAAAACAAAGCCAAACAAAACGATGCGTTATTAAACCCTACAGGCTAACACTTGCAACCATTCTAACAAAGTTACCTCAGAGGTACAGTGTACTGTATCAGCATATCAGGTTTATCGTTTGCTGTTCATATGTCAGTTTTGTCTGCATATTGTGTTTTTATCCTGTTGCATTGTGTATCGTTGTGTTCTGTTGTTTTCCTTTAGTCGCTGTCGGCGACATTCTGTCTGCCAGTGCTTACTTCTGGGCCGTTTTTTCAGTGTGAGGCTTTGTTCCTCCACTTGTATTTGAGGCGTTGACCTCATTTTGTTGAGGTTTTGTCCTCATGTTGTATCAAGGCTTTGTCCTTGTTTTTTATATTGAGGCTTCGTCCTCATATTTTATTTTGAGGCTTTGGCCTCGTATTACATTATTTATTATTTTGGCATTTATAGGGGAGTTTTTTGCGTCGACTTAATGTCTGACAGACTTTCCCTGCCACATTTTTATTGTGTTATATAGTGGATTCGTCCATTATTTTTATTTATTACATTGAGGCTTTGTCCTCATATTCTATTTTGAGGCTTTGGCCTCGTATTATATTGAGGCTTTGTCCTCATATTTTATTTTGAGGCTTCGTCCTCGTATTATATTGAGGCTTTGTCCTCATATTTTATTTTGAGGCTTTGTCCTCATATTTTATATTGAGGTTTCGTCCTCATTATTTTATGTTGAGGCTAGGTTCCTCAGTTTGAGGCTTTGGTCCTCATTGTTCTAGGCCCCTGTTCCTTTGTTTGTACTGCTTATTTGATTTGTTTGCAGTGATATGTGTGTGGTTCTGTTGTTGTATTTTTGTCTAGGGTAACCAGATGCCAATATTATTTGGTTTGAATTTCTATTCACATTTTTTGCCTTTTTTGTCTATTTTTTAGTCTTTATTCATGCAATCCGTTATTTTGGTTTACATGCAGCTACATTAACTTTAATCTCCGGTTTTGTTGGCTCCCCTGTTTTGATATGTGTGGACATTACAGTCCTGCATTTATTGTGATGAGACACTGTTATACGTTGCTTTATGCTTTACTCTCCACGTCACATCAGTGCTTTTAGCTTTGTTGTTTCTGAGGAATTTACGGTTTATTTGTTTTGTTTGGGAGATCCTGATTGATTTATTAATTGGTTACACATTGTTCTTTAATGGTAGCACATTCTGGCTTTTTTAAAGAAGTTGTTTTTATAGTTTTTTCATTTTACTGCAGGTGCTAAGGTATACACATGCAGCTCCCTTTCATGAACGCCTTTTGAATGAAGCCAGTCTTGAGCAGAGTACCAACCAGCTTTATCCAACCATCTTCAGCTTTCCCTTGGCATCTCTCTTAAGAAAGTCAATAGCTCTGCATTCTCTTTGGTTCCTCAATTCAGTTCAACATAGTATGCAAGAAATGTTCCAAAGAGTTGTACACATTCTGCTGATCAGTTTTCCAGGAGTTGCATCTCTAGTGTCGGGCTACTCAAGAGCAGCTGCTGCGTCCCTTGGCACGTGGCACCTACGTGTACATCTACTTGGGCAGAACTTTCCTCAGGCAACTTTGGCTTGCTGGGCATTGTGATTGGGTATACATGTAGCTCAAGTGTATAGGACATGTATGTCATTTGATACTTATGTGCAGGACATATGGGCAGTGACATTGTAATATGTAGAATTCTCACCACATGAGTCAGGGTCATTCGGCCATCTTACAGTATATTGATTTTTTCACTTTTAAATTCACCTGTTAGTTTCCTAGGTGATTTCTGCTTACAGTATAGTTTCAAGGTGACTGTGTGAGCAGGGGCCATACAGCCATCTCACAGATTTTCATTTGAATCAGTTACATCAGTGAGTTACGTCAGACTTTTTATTAGTATCATTCAGGGTGACTGTGTGAGCAGGGGCCATACAGCCATC